CTTACATCTAAGTTCATCGATTTTTTGTGTTTGAAGACAGGAGTAAACCGTGGTTGTTACTTGATTGGTGGAATTTATTTGGGAAGCATTAAAATGCAACTATGAATAACCCACCCCTCAAAAAAACTAGCCATATACGCGTGCAAATGAAAAAAAGAACTACAAAAATACTCCGATGGGAACAGTAAACTTGTACAATAAATCACTTGAATCAACTCTAGTCGCGAATTTTAATAGTGTTCCAATAGAACCAGCATGGTAAAACAAATGACATGGCGGATGTCACAGTAACTGCAGAATTATAATATCAAGCATTGGCATTTTTAAAGTTGCCGATTTTTATGAGGAAATAAGATTGCGTTAAATGTGGTTCAGATGTAACCAGGTATTGATTTTTACTGAAACGCAGCAATAAACCGAACTGGATATCATATTAGTATTGGAAGCAACGATTTACATTTTGAATTTTTAATTAGGGCGCTCATTGTGAAGCCCTTGAAGTACATTTCCCATGCCAAAATCACCGACATCTCCTTTTGCGCATTGCCTTTTTAAACATCAAACGTTCTGCCTGAGGAGCCGATTATGGTGCCGTGCCTTGTAGTGCCTGTCATTCAAAAAGAAGGCGGCTGTGGGCTTGGTTTAATCAAAGCGAAGGAAATGAAGGCAATTGTTAAATTTACCTAATATTTGTGTTTTACTTTCGGTGTGTGTATTTTGGCGGAAATTTTAACCGATGGTTGGCACCGTCACTATGACAAATTCACACACTACATGTGAAGCAATAAAATTGCATGTGGAGGGGGAATTTTATTGCACAAATGCCCATTAAGTGTCCCCTCTTTAAAGTTAGAAGTTACCAACGCTTTTTTTTGTTTCAAAGGCACTTTGACACCTTTTACGTGGCTCATAAAACGAGTGGTACTCAATTGGTGATATTTTTTATATAGCTACTTGTGCGTTGAGAAGACTCTAGTCTGAATCAGGCCACACCATTAAAAGTACTTAGTTTACCGCGGTCTGTGACTAAGGTTTGATCTACACCAACGGAACACAGCTCATGGAGATCTAACCACGAAACCGTGTTATTTAGTGTGGTGTGAAATTTAGTGAGTTTTCACACTCAACTGCAGCTGCTACTCATTCTATTGACCTTTTTGAAGGTTCATTTAATGGTAGAACCTTTGAATCTGAGATACACAGCGAAAATTTCGAAATTCCATAAACGCACTTTCCTACGTGTGGAGTTGAAATTTTCCCAAGGCCTTAAGTCCCCAGTCGAGGCTTGTGATAAGAAATGTGTGTAGAAGCATGCTTAAGCAATCTGCATTTTGTGGGAACCAGCGTTTGCTTGTTTTTCCAGAGCTCCTATTTTTACTGGGAAAACAATTTTTAACCTGTTTGCGCTGAATGCGAAATGGAAAATGAACCATTGTAGCTTGCAGTGATTTTAAGCTTGAGTCTACGATATCGAAATGCGAAATCGATTTTTAATACTAGTAACGGAAAATGAGTTAAACCAACGCCAACGTTGTTGCACCAGATTGAGATTTCATGAAATGCGATTTACAGACCGGTAGCGCGTCAGCTTTAAGATCTCTGCATTAGTGACGTGGTTTTTGAGCACACCACTGAAGACCAGCTGGTCACGATTGGGAAATCCAATGGTCGCCCACAGCCCCCCAACTGGTTTAATTCGTCGTGATCCTTCCGGTCAAGGTCATTCACTCCTAGCGAAGGTCGCACCCTGTGATGAGGAGCTATAAGCCTGGGGTGGAGGGTGGGGGTTTGCGTCAGAGAAGGGAGCTGCGTGGCGAGTCTGGTGACGAAGTGATGGAACAACTTCTCGGGCAGCTGGTGCTGATGCTTGGCGAATCTTCAGAGTTTTCAAACCGCGAAGGTGACATCAGAATTACGAAGGCCTGTTCCGGGTCGACCTCGCGTCACTGGGAGGTCAGAAGCCTGCTTTGTGGACGTCCTCCAGCGGAGATGAAGAAATACTGCAGCACCATCCTCCATATAACCCCGGGAATCTGGTCTGGACGTAAATGAAGAAGATTAGCGATATCGGCACTCCAAAGCCAAAGTCTTTACAAAAAATCGATTTCATGGTCTCCGTGCCTCTAAATCACCAATCAAAATGACCCCAGAAGTTGTTTCAATCGCGTTTCGGCTGCTAGAATAGAAAAAAAGCGCATTTTTCTGAATCACCACGGAAAAATCGGCGACTGCCATGTCATGGAAATTTCAGGAAATCTAGCAAACGGTGGGAAAATTAACAGACTAACAAACCGGCTTGATTCACACCATTTCAGATGGAGTACAGGCTAATTAATTTTGCCCAAATCAGGTTTTAGAACAAAACCCAGTGGATAAGGTGGTCATTTGTTAAGTCAATTTGTACAGCTGTTGGTGCATTGTGCCATTGTCACATGATTTCCCAAGTAAAGTGACACAATTCAGGAAATGCAAACACTCAGCATCCTGACGTGTTCTCGGGCTTGTCAGAGTTAGGAGAGACGGGGGAGGAAATAAGCGCTCCACGAGGAGTTAGAAAGCTTAAAATGTGAATTAAATAATTTTAGAAAAATGCTTCCCACAACGTGAACTTAAATTCAGACGTCCTCAATGCAGACGTGGTCTAATTTCTGCATTTGGATTGGTTAATTGAAGCATTGTCCAGAGCTGTCAAGGAACACAGACGGCATGTTCAATTCCCCCCAGTTCCATCCGGGCGAAGTTTTCTCTGATTTTGGTGTCCCTACTTTTTAATTAAATGTAAAAATGGGGTGCGTGCACCTGAGAATAGTTCGCGCATGACATGATTTAGTGAACCTCGACACTTGATAAGGTGAGATTGGATAGGTGCCCCTACTCCTTTGAGACATTCAAATTGTCCAGTACTGAATTTGACCAATTGAACCATGCCTTACGCATATATTAGTGTTCATATGTATAACTACGAGCAAACTACCGTAGACACACATAGCATCCGATGGCGAAGTGACAGATCGACGACCCAGCACAGTCAGCTGGCAATTCGCCATCTTCTGTGTGACATCGTGGGTGTGTTGCGTAATGACTTGTGATGTGTGTGTGTGTGTGGGAGCCAATCATCTTGAAGTGAGTCGACTAAAACCCCCCTTCTTAGCCCTGACTCCAAAAAGTGTCCGTGACAAGAACACTAACGGGTGGCCTTGGCTTGCTAAAGGCCATTTCGAGGTCATCCATCGCAACTCAGCTCTCAGCCAATCACGAGCCGACCTTGTCGATGTGAGCGAGTCCAACCAATGAGGAATCGATTTTCCTACCATATTACGACGCAGGTTAACGTTACTGGCTTGTTGGTTGCAGGGTGTTCGTCTCCGCTAACCAGAATTGACCGTACCTTCGACATCTGTCCAGTGCGCACTTAGGTGAATGCTGGGATAAAATCAGAGCCAAATTCTGTGATCTTGTCGACGCATTCTTTTGTGTGTCATGTAGATTTAGAGCTATCAGGCACAAAATCTGCACGTGAAGCAGACATTGATAAATTTTCATTTCTGTGTACGTCAGTCCAACTACTAATTGACATGCTAAGTAGTATAGCGAAGGGTAAAGTCCACGCCGTCTAATCTTTCTGGTAACAAATCAGGTCCGCGATTCATGTCTAGTTAGCGCAGTACTTGATGATGTTTTGATGGAATCGTTTGAGGAAATATTTCTCCCATTTAAAGCTGTCAAAGGCTTAACTGGCATTACATCCGTTTCTGAATATAATTGGCCCTAAAATGTTCCAAAAATGGTTATTTTTTGGCCTTTTGAAAACAAAAATTTGATAAATAACCACACCACTAACTCCAATTTCCAGCAGAAGCTAAGTTAAGACCCAAACCTAGTCTAATCCTTGTTTTTGTTGCGCTTTAGAGGTGATTGGTCAGGAATATCGATCTTGCCTAGTGGCGCGTCGTGTGAGTAAAGTAAAATCGATTTTTTTCAAAATTAGACAGTCTAATTAATATCAGTACCGCTCCACCAGTAAAAAAATAGTTTCACAGCGCGAAAAAACCAATGGAAGTGGCTATATTTCGATGCCGTCAACTTGGCGCTCCCTAAATTAAATCCATGCCATATGTTAAGTTCAAATTCGATAGCACCGAACGCCGATCGTGGGAGATTTGATGGGTTGGAAATTGAGGGCAAATTAAATTAGGAAAAATCAATCAAGCAGAAAATTGAATTTTTTCCCGCTTATAAATGAAATTGTGATTAAAAAGTTCGTGCGGCATTTTAATTTGTGCACTTTATTTAAACAAGCATGTAGCTTCCGCTTGCCCACTGTTGATTAATTAGAAGTCATTAAAATGTCCCAAACTGATGGTAGCGTGTCCAGATTTGGGGTTATGGGTATTTCACAGGCCTATTTCTTACGATTTACTAAAATTTTAAAATAAATTGTGCATCCCAAGACGAGTTTTCTGTCGACAGACAAGGTGGCAGACAAAAAGGGTTAATTTTTGGGAATATTCTATGTCCCAATTTGCATTTAATTTGATGCAGAAAAAGTAAATTTCCCTGACGTTAGATTCGCCTCTTTCATTTTCCGTAATCCTGGACTAAAAGTTGATGCACTAGTTAACTACTGCAAACAAAATAAATTAAAAGGGGTGCTTAATTTTGTGTTGGAAAACACATCACAATGCTGCCAAAACAAGTTTCTTGTCCGTAAATTCTATATCTGGACATTTTTTCTTGGGTCACAAATTGAATTTTGAAGGCGTCAATCAGAAGACGCCGAAATATAACAATTTCCTTTAAAATGCTCGCACTTTAAAATTAATTTTTATTGCTAGCGTTATTTTGTATACTGGCATTTAAAAGTCATGATTTTGAAAAAAATCGATCCCAATATTACTCACACAACACGCCACCAGTCAGGATCAATATTTCTGACCAATCACCGTGGAAGTAAATAACACCGCTATCGCGCGTCTTGCTTGTCTTTCAGGTACGGTGACATGGTACCCTCGACGATCATGGGCAAGGTAGTGGGAGGGATCTGCTCACTGTCTGGTGTCTTGGTCATTGCTCTGCCAGTGCCCGTAATTGTCTCCAACTTCAATCGAATTTACCAGCAAAATCAAAGAGCAGATAAGAGGAAAACGCAAAAGGTAAATGGTTTTTTTTCCGTAAACACCACATAAAATTTTAATTGGTTTGGCTATAGTCAATTATGTCAGTTTTCAAATTTGTAAAAATATTTCTAGCCTCACTCAGTTGTAGGGGTCGTCCCCAAGCCGTCGCTATTTTGCGAGTTGTGGCTCGCGGGGCTTTTTCCACCAATGATATTTGAGGCGGTCCCATTAAAATTGGACTGATGACCAATCACGCCTCTGTGTTTTAAAAAGAGATTTTTTTCCTAATACTTGCTGTTTTTCGATGCATTCAGGAAATTTTCCTGTCTCTGTGGTTTAGCAATTTGCAATTTAAAACCAAGCGATTTTGTGCTGTTGTCAAAACTAGACTTAACTTAAAGCCACGTAGATATTTGGGCATTTTATGGAGCCAGCTCAGGTAAAAAATGTATGTACGGTGGTTTTGAACCAGACAGAAGTTTTACTTTTGTCGTTAGCATTCAAAGTAGAAAATATCAGCAAAATATCCAACAAACAAACTAGTCTGGTTCTGACGTGGCCCGTTTTCTTTTAATTTTTGTACCAAGATATATCTGGATCTAAAGAATAAATGTGCAATGTGTTAATTTTGTGTAAGTGAAGCTTGATTGTTACTGGATGAAGTCTATATAACCTTTTTTGTATGACAAAGGCATATTTACAATCTCTACACAACTGCTTTTTAAAGCAAGCACGAAATGTCTGAGTTTTTGAGGTTTATCGCTTTCTTTTGCAAACAGTAACCAATCAAAATCAGGCGGTACGGTCCAAACATGAGTTCGAAAATCCGCGAAATTTAATTTTAGCCAAATGAGATGCTGCGTGAGTAGGAATTAACTCTAATCCCAGGTTTAGACAGATCCGATTAATTGTGAATTGGAAGTACAAAATTTTTCGGACGCCTTTGGTAACAGGAATTTTGTAACGCCGAGATCAGTTTGATGGTTACCTCCACCATCTTCAGAAACAGCATGATGTTCGATGAGGCGCAACATTTACTCGATAGCTTATTCCAAAATTTTGAAAAACCCCATCAAATTGACTTGACCGCCGGATTGCTTGCAGCTGACAGTGTTGTTATTACGCTTAAATGGTCGTTAATATCCGTTTTAACCATCAGCATTGGTTTTCGAACCTTCCGATAGACTACACTTCCGTCTATTTAAACAAGCCAACCCTAACTGGTACGAAGCGTGGCTCAATAATTGTTGAGTCAAGTTGGGCGGTGTAGGCATGAAATGCTCCTTTTGCTATTACCTCTGCACTCCGATTAGGCTACTTACGCAAATGGCCACACTTATGCCTTTCTGGAAGCCCTTCCGGGTGTTTTTATTCGTTACGGAAATTAGGTGGGTGTGTGCTCTGGCGTAACAACGTAATCCTAAGTAAGCCAAACGGCTTTGTTGGAAAAAAAGGACGAAAAACTGGCTTGTTATCGGCAAGTAAGAACCAAAACGCTTGTAACGTCTACAGACGACCGCAGATACGACCGTTAATTCGTCCCATGCACTTCAGAATATTGTTGAGCAGTTTGTTAGCCAGAGCCGCTGCACAAAAATCAATAAGTGCGCGCTTGAGTTTCGCCAATCAGCGCGTAGTAATCGATCGACACGCAGTTAAGACAATTTGATCTTTTTCAATGTGAGAGTGATGAGGAATTCGACTTAATCATTAAAGTTTTCTTTACATTTCTCAGACAAAATATAGAGTTTCCAAAAATTATAACAAATGTGTTACATTCATCGGAGCTACAGAGATTTAACCCTTGACAACTCGTTCCTTTGCCATTCCTCTGGTGTTTGACCTCATCATCATCCACAATTCTTGTTGCCATGTCCCCACAAAACATTTCAAGTGTTTGATTGTCCCTCTGATTAAATGCCGGTACATTGTAGGCGTTAATGGCAATTTAGGCTATAATCCTGTACTCAAATATTTGATCATGTGAAGGCATCCTGTAGCTGGTTGGTGGATAAAGTCAGTTGAAAATCGATTTTTATGCGTCATTGATTCGTAGCCAATGAAAATAGCTTTCAATAGAAATACCCAGCTTCCTGTACATTTCGGGTCGCTTTGAAACAAAAGGTCTCTAACTAATTACGCCTTTTGCCAAATTGTTTAGTTTTGGTTAAACTTTTACTAATTTTGTTCGATTCTGTGAGTTTGTTTAAATTTACGCCACTCGCAGCCACTTCAAACTTTTGAAATTGTTCACAAAAGTAGCCCAACGTTTTTTTAGTTATTTGAGGAAATCGGGTGGAATTAAGTATCATGCCGATTTCGAGGTAAACGAAGATTTGTTTTCTAATTAAAGGCCATTCCTCAAAAATGACAACATCTCCTGCTTGCTTTTTTTGTTTAAATGTATGAATTATCACAAGCGTCATTCTTCGCTCGTTGTTTGATGGCAGAGCGAGATAAAACAGAACAAAACGTCGTAATAAACTGGACAAACGATTCCATCAGATGCATTTGTCGGAAAAAAAAACATCGTCATCCTCATGTCAATCCCGTCTACATAATCACCGCGTTTTCTGCAAACAAGTTGCCACCATTATAAAAAAAAAATAGTTTCCGACCACTAGGGTTTTTGTACAAGAAGTGCCACAGTTCTGAAGTACCGCCTCGGTTGGTTGGTTTGTCTGGGCCTCAAGGGTGTAACGACCGTCACGGTCACCTGGTCGTCAAGGCGCCTCGTCCATCAGTGCGGAACGTGTTTTGAATTTTTTAAAAGGCCGCATTTAAGCTGCTCGCTCAACACAACCGCCAAAGTTCCATTTGCTACCATGAAATAGGGAAATCCGAATTGGGAACCAAAAGTTTTCTTGTGAGAATTGGGCAATTACACGGCACAACAGTTCTGAATATGTCACGAGCTTTGGCAATGATCGCAAACCAAATCACACTTACACGAGTCAGAAATCTGTGGTGTCTTACATCCATAAAAACAGAGAATAAGATGAAGCAATGTATCTCAGTAGTATCTGCAGATGTAAAGCGTGAACAGCAGCCGATTTAAACCTCATTTCAGACCTGTGAGTGGTCATGCTGCCTCACATCCATGAAAAGATTGGAATTTCAGGAGCAAAGAGTCGGACTTATAATCGGTCAAATTGTGGCCAATGAGAATAAGGGACGCGAGCAGTATGAGCACTGATCGCGAGAATAAGCTAAACACTAAAAAAAATTATAATTTGTGGCTCTTTTCTGACTAACGAATTTGACTTTAGAAAGCGCGACTCGCAAGAGTGAATCAGGCGAAGTCGGTGACCTTCAGCCAGCACTCACCGTGCCAATCGACGGACTCCATGAGCACCTCCTTTCTCTACTCGAACACCGAGGTGAACAAGTTCATCGAGAAGCTGTCGCCCACCCTCCAGCACTCAGCATCACCAGCTGAGCCTGCGGACAAGAGCCCAGTGCTGCACTGTTCGACTGAACTGGACGCCAGCGTGTCGTACCAGCGAGCCATCGCGGCGGCTGTTAGCTACACGCGCAGCATCCACAGTGACGAGGAGACACGACTGCAACTCATCCACCTGCTTGCCTGTCTGGAGCAGGTTGTGGTGAGTGAGCGGCGTGATTTTACTCATCCTCAACATGTTCCTTTAACTCAGGGATTTTTTTTCTCGAAATAAACGGGTTTACATAGGCACAACCCTACCATTACCGCCTGTAGTCCTGTTAATTATTTACACTAATTACATTGTCACAGAGGGCAATCCGAATTCGCGCGCTTGTAAGTCCAAATGCCTAGCTAAATATCTTTTCAAAAAAAATTTTTAAAATACTCGATGTTGACTCACCTACCTCATACCCTTTTAGTGAGTGGATGAATAGGGGTCAAGAGTCAAACCTATGATTGGTCAAATTGTGGCCAATGGCGAGAGCGTAAAAAATCGATAATTTGTTCGATGTATGAAAACGGTCGCAATGAGATTGGCTGCCTCTTTGAAACCGCCGCTTTTGGTGTGGGCTACAATCTTTTCCCATTACATTAAAGTTGATTTAATTGTTGAAAAATTAGTAAAGAAATTACCCATTTTATAAAGCAACAGACATATCAGTGCTCATTAGTGCCATGATTAGGTGTAATTTAAACAAAATTCGAACCGTAACAAATGCCAGAAGTGATAATGTGGCACAGTTTAAGACTGGTTAATTGGCCATTTTTAACCAGAGCCGACAACCCCAAGTATTTTTTTGAATTCTCATTGGCTGAGAGAACAATGTTAGTCTCATGGTATGGCTTGAACTGCATGCCAAAAGGCACAAATTTATGTATTTCTGTACAGTCGTTCGTTGCCTCAGTGCAGAAATCACACGGAATTTGATAAGTTTTGTGACTGCAGGATGCTTGCAGCTTCGTTCTAAAGTGTTGCGCCAAAACGTAGGACGTTATCCTTCATCAACAGCACGGATTCCGTGTTAAATGTTGCTTGAGTTCAGTCAACAACTGTTTTGACTTGTATCAGCGTCTACCACATTTTGCAAATTAAACCAGCGTAGCTCATATTAACAGCAAACTATAAATGCTACCGTGAAGTTGGAATGGACCTGAGTAGGTTCCATTCGTGCTCAGACTAGATGCCAACATGCAACGAAGAAATTCCATGGTTTTCCGCGTTAATTTTTTTGTTACCACAAGCATTGGTGCGTCGTTTTTCAGAACCACAACTACAAGCCCTGTATGGATCGGAGTTTTCAACGGGTCTACGAGACGAAGAGCTCTTTTCATAAGATCCACCCCGTCTTCAGCAACGACGCCATCCAGCGGTACAGGAAGTCCCTCCTGAGCAACCGGAAGCGCTGTTCCAGCGTCCTCTCTGAGTCCAGTGATGGCACCGTTCACGACGCCAACACAACGCCCTGGTTTTGCTGTCCCAAGTTACAACGCTTGAATTGTCCGTCGGAGACATGGCAGGAAAGGAGACAGTCAAAAAATAGGAAGGTGATTGGTTAAGTTTGTTGTGGGCCACAGCAAGTGGTCTTAAACTATACCAGGATCACTGAGTCGGGTCTCATCCGCTATAAAGTGAAAGACCGGAGAGGACGTGGACGCAACCGTTTACTTCAGAGCTCAACCAAGTTGGTAATTTTGTGTTGTGGTTGGCGTTTGCACGCGTGTACTTATAGCTCAGATTTGAGGGTCATAGATGTGCTGAAATCGAGACCTAGGCGTGAGGATAATCCAGGAAAAATGTTTGTGCTAATGTGACGAGAGCTAAGTCTCCGCGCGGCTGGCAACATGCAGCGAAAAAGAGAACCCTACGTCGAAGGGCGGAGAGATCTGACTAAAAAATGTGGATCAACACGTTTCACAATACATTTTAAGGAGCTATATTGGCAAAAGGCTGCTAATTTAGATGAATTAGTCAACTTTGAGCAGTTCAGCCACGGAGGACCACCTTCTTCCAAGCGCATTGTTCAAGACCACATGCCGGAGAAATTAGAAAGCTCCTGAGACCTTCCTACTGAGTCTGTCCTACTAATTTACCCTCAGATCAGGTCAAAAGGCTTGAACCAGTGCGCTCCATGGTGTCGAAAACCACCTCAAACCTACTTCCAGGTCTACTTGGAGCCAATTAAACGAACAGGTTAGATGTTCAACCAGAAAAAAAACATTAACCATGGCGTTCGTTACCTCCAAGGCAAAAAGAGAGACACAGTCCGTCTTTTCCCCATTAGTTAACGGATTAATCATTAATGAGATGCT